ACTTGGCAGATGGGAGGAGCTAATGGCATATGGGAGGAGCTAATGCAGCCCTGGTCAGCTTTCCTATGTATTGCAACAGCTGTCTTTCTTGGCTAGAATTGCCTAGACATAAAGGATCTTTTCTGCGGTGGAGGCTGCAGGCAGTTTGCGGCTTTGTCACATCAGCAGCACAGAAGGTTGGTGGCAGTTATGTGCTGCCCTGGTATGATTCCTTATGGTCTCCCTTTTCTCTTCAGCCACCCTGCTTTGGTCTTTACTTTGCTAGAAGAGGGTGTGTGGCATAGATACCTCCGTGTAAACACCCTCCTGATTGTAAGACACGGGAGGGTCTGCCTGGCGATGCTCTGGAATATGCCGCACGCCTGGGTTTTGGGGGTGTTTTTGATGGGAGCTGGGCAAAGCTGGCTGCTGTGTTCCTCAGCATGACAGATGTTTTAACGTTGCTAATGGATTTCATTCTTTATGCCAACCACAGGCACTCAGCGCATTCACGTGCAAGCGGCTCACATTAACCTCTATTTGTGCAGAGCCTCTATTTACCAGCGCACCCAACCCTATGAGAGTTGTCATCCAGAGCCCAAGGAATGACATGAGGAAATGGACGGGGAGCGGGAATAACTTTCCAGAATCAGCGCTTGTCTCTGATCGGAAACGTATTCCTGAATCTGCGTCTGTCTGTCAATGACTGTATCCCCGGGAAGCAGCCTGTGGGTTATGGCCAACTTCTCCACCGGAGTTCTGCCCTGGTACGGAATGGTGGCAAAGGTCCATCCACCAAGGTTATAGATCCCTCCCCCCCCCTTGAGGGAAAGGCTGAATGGGGCTACCTCATGGGTCCCCAAACTTTTTACATCACACACCCCATTTATCCCTCCCCACCCCCTTTCTGGGAGCCACAGTGGGAGCCAGGGCTGTGACTCCCAGGTGGGTGAGGAACACAGACAGGGATACAGGAGCTGAGGCTGGGGCAGGAGTTGGAGGTGGGCCTGGGGCCAGTAGTGGGGCTATGGCCAGGAGCCAAGGCTTGGGGTGGGGGCAGGAGCTACAGCCAGGCCACAGCTGGGGGCAGGGTTGAGGCCAGAAGAAGAGGCATCGCCGGGGGGGCCATAACAGTGGGTGTGGGTGTGGCTGCAGAGCCGCAGATGGACCAGGGCTAGCAGTCAGGGCAGGAGCAGAGCCATGGACAGGCTGTGCAGAGCTAGAACTGGGCTGTGGCTGGGGGCAGGGCTGGAGTAGAGCAGAGTTGAGTAGCATTCTCTCTCTGCCCTCCATCGGCACATTCCTGGGCCCCACCACACTCCACTACACATTCCTATGTGCCCTGATAACCTGTGAGAGTCAAAACTGCTATTGCTCCTGCCTCAAAACACTGGGCCAAATGTTATCCCCACTGGAATTGTACAGATTTAAGTGGCAAGACAGGAGGGACAAAGCGACGCAGGAGCCTAAAGTCCACTCTGAGTCAAAGGGTCGTAGGCTCCCAAATATTTGTCCCTTTTGAAAATGGGACACAAGCTGCTAAGTCTAGATGCGAACGTTGGAAACAATAAAAAAAACTTTACAGCAGCCAATTTCAGAGCCCAGGTGTGCAGATATGGGTTGGGGGCTCATGCCTTGGGGCTATGCATAGCCACGTTTATGTTCCCCCTTGGACTGGAGCTTTTCTGAGACCAACCTCCTTGCCAGATTTCACATCCTGAGGTTCAGCCCCAACAGGAAGGTCTACATTGGGTTTAGCGCCATACTGTGATCCCGAGTCTGGCAGGTTGTAAGACTTGCTTCCATGGGGGAGTTTACAGTGTAGAAATACCCTTAGATGCTTTTGAAAATTGTACCTGCTGTCTTTGCCTTTATCTCCAGCTCATACATTAATACTAGTCACAGCAGTTCCTCTTCGGTGCTGAAGATAATTTTCTGATACTTAGATCATTTCAAGTAAAAGGGAACTAATATTATAGTGCCACAAATATCTATGATACTGAACAAAACATAGTCCCGACTCCCAGTGAGATGACAGTATACAATTTTGATCGTGTGATGAACTCCACATGAGGAAAGATCACTGCAGGACTAGGGAGGGGGGGGGGGGGGGGGG